GGTTCAAGACCAGCCTGGGCAACTTGGCGAGACCTCATCTCTATAATAAATCAAAAAAATTAGCCGGGCATGGTAGCGTGCACCTGTAGTTCCAGCCACTTGGAGGCTGAGGCGGAAGGATCGCCGGAGCCCAGCAGGTCGAGGTTGCGGTGGCCGGAAGCGGCCACTGCACTCCAGTCTGGGCGACAGTTTGAGACTCCAACTCAAAAAAAAAAAAAAAAAAAAATCTAAAGCTCTTAAAGTATTAGATAAATGCACAACTCTGGGCAAGACTTTTGTCTAAAATTAATAACCCTTGTAGCTCTGTGAACTATGACTACCTTAAGTAATGTCCACAAGCACTATCATGTAGTCTTAGGAAAGGGAGGCAGAATTGGGAAAAAGAAGAAAATGAAACTAGGATGGAAGAACAGCATAAGGATGAGGAAGATGAAGCAAGGGGAAACACCAAAAAAGTAAGTGCTGTACACACTAAGTGCCACCAACTGTGTCTCAGCATCACAAACTGCTCATCTCAGGATCGAACACACACACACACAAACACACACACACAAGTAAGGAAGGCATATTCTAAAAACATGAGCTTCTTTTTGGTTTACTTCTATCTAAATTTAAATTGACATTAATATAGAAATTGTATCATAATGGCAGTGAAAGTTAATATATATCTGTTAAGTGTACTAGGGTTTAAACATTTATCTCCACAGGAAAGTGGGAAGAATAACATTATGATTAGTCAGCAATAAAATCCATTATACTTGAAGATAACCACTGCCCTATATTCACACATACCTGTCCTCTAATGTCTATATCAGCATATTTTTGGAGAAGCGCTCGAACAATCTCAACATGACCACCTCTGACAGCACCAATCAACACAGTATCCCCACTCTAAAAGGACAAAAAACAAGGTGAATTGATGATGAGAACAAACTAGCTCTGTTTTGAAGTTAAGGTTAATTATTTATCAATATAATAATCTTTGGAAAAATAGTTCTTAGAAAAAGAATCTATCTCTAACTGAGAAAAAAATTAATTAATATTAATACTTGATATTAACAGTCCTCAGAGTAAGGAACTGAGGACTTTATGCTTCAAAATGAAAACATTGAAATTCCATTTAAAAAGTTTGGAAAGCCAGGCTCAGCGGCTCAGCCTGTAATCCCGCGCCTTTGGGAGGCTGAGGTGAGTGGATTGCCTGAGCCCGCAGGTTTGAGATCCGCTCGGGCAACTTGGCAAGACCTCATCTCTACAATAAATCAAAAAATCAGCCATGCATGGTAGTGCATGCCTGCAATTCCAGCTACTTGGAAGGCTGAGGCAGAAGAATCACCGGAGCCCAGCAGGTCGAGGCTGCGGTGGCCGGGAGCGGCCAC